TATTTCTTAAATCTCGTTCGATTTTCCGGATTTTTCCAACTAATTACGTAGAGTGATCTGTGTTTTAATTATTCTGCTGGTGTTTTCTCGATTGTAATCGATCGTTCGTGTAAGATAGTGCCGAATGTGACAGGCGGCGGAAAGCCGCGACGCAGTTCGACTTTCGTGGCTTATATTTCTTAAATCTCGTTCGATTTTCCGGATTTTTCCATTTAATTACGTAGAGTGATCTCTGTTTTAATTATTCTGCCGGTCTTTTCCCGATTTTAATCAATCGTTTGTGTAACATAGTGCCGAATGTGACAGGCGGCGGAAAGCCGCGACGCAGTTTGACTTTCGTGGCTTATATTTCTTAAAACTCGTTCGATTTTCCGGATTTTTCCATTTTATTACGTAGAGTGATCAGTGTTTTAATTATTCTGCCGGTCTTTTCCCGATTTCAATCGATCGTTTGTGTAAGATAGTGCCGAATGTGACAGGCGGCGGAAAGTCGTGACGCAGTTTGACTTTCGTGGCTTATATTTCTTAAAACTCGTTCGATTTTCCGGATTTTTCCATTTTATTACGTAGAGTGATCAGTGTTTTAATTATTCTGCCGGTCTTTTCCCGATTTCAATCGATCGTTTGTGTAAGATAGTGCCGAATGTGACAGGCGGCGGAAAGCCGTGACGCAGTTTGACTTTCGTGGTATATATTTCTTAAATCTCGTTCGCTTTTCCGGATTTTTCCATTTAATTATGTAGAGTGGTCTGTGTTTTGTAATTGTGCCGGCTTTTTCACGATTTCTATCCATTATTTGTGTAGGAATGTGGTTGCAGTATGATATCATGCGTTTGAGATATATTTTCAAAGAAGTTCAAATGGAACCGGTTATTTGTCTGAAATTTGACTTGGTGTGAACTTATGGAAGATGTAATGTATGGTTTGTGTCGATCAATGTATGTGGATATATCTACGTGTATGAATAATGATCATATTTGAGGTAAGACTATACTTTTCTCCGATTTCGTGGATGTGGATAATTTTTTTGTAATATTTATAATTTTTTTGTAATATTTATAGTATTTTATGTTATACATTTTATTAGTTAGATTAGTATATTATGAAGAGACTTGAATATAAATTATCTCTATGCTCGTCATCGTTAACTCTGTCAAATATAACTACATTACCTTTTCATGATTTTTAAGGTAAAAATCTGAAACTGTTTTCTAATAGTTCTTATATTTATTAAAAGTACCTTTTGATTGAAATATTCGCTATCATTATACACAACAAAGATGTTAGGGATTATCTTACATAATCTCAATGTTACAATTATAGATTGTAATTTAAAATTAAATGTACTAGGTTATTATGTAAATCTCTCGGAAAATTGAAAGAAAATGCAAATTCAAACAAATGGTTCATTCTTCGCAGACGTTTATCGAATGCAATTTTGTATGCAGTCTACAAATTGATATTCCTCTGGCATTTATAACGACATGTTTATGCAACCTGTATGATCATTAATACGTAGCAACGCCTTGAAATGTATTCTTGATGAATATTGACGTCTAATGATCGTATCTGCTGTTTAACCATCGTATAATGTCAAGTCAATGGAAATCGTTCCAATCTGCCACCGTGTTATTGCAAATTAATTCTTTCATCGCAAAGCGACGATGTCGTTTAGATATAGACGTTATCCTGTTTATTATAGCAATGTATTGAAAATTAGCATAATTCTACTCCTAGGAGTTGCATGGTTGGAGGGTCGAGAAATATTAAATAATATCTATTATATCTACTTTTCAGTCGAATTTTTCATTAAAGGTTATATACTATACCATATACAATACACAAAATTAAAAACATTATTATTTGAAAGAATAATTTTCATTAAATATGTACTAGTAACATTCTAGTAACCTCGTAAGAAATATCGTATGATTAATTTACGATTCACTAGGAAAGCGTGCAACGCCATGTATATCACGCGAGTGTTAATAATTAAAATATATAGAATAATAACTTAAATTTTCTTTCAGCACGCGCGATCGGTCGTTCACATTTTATCGATGTTCTTGATTGTTTCGGGAGTGATCACGTTATACGACTGCGCATGCGTATGACGTCACTTGCATGCGCGCATGCGCGATCGTTGCTATGCATTATTGATTTTCCCAACCTCACCGTCATCGAGGTACATCTCGATTAGATTGATTACGTGACGATGATCTCGCTTAAACTCGAGCTTACGTAGGCAATATCTAACTAGCCACGATAACAGTGGAATTACGGCTAATACGATTAGCTCGTTCGTGATTCGCGCAATTTTCCTATTCGCGAACATTGGCGCACGCGTCCCATGGAAATCGCTTTCTTTCTATGTTTAGCCAGGAAAGTTCAGTACACCTGTTCACCTCGTGACAATTTCCACGTGTAATCCTCTTATCATGAGTTTACCGATTATATTCGATTGTATTCCTGTTTTACTACTTTGTGTTAACTTTGCGATTTAATTTTGTTATTATTTGCATAGATATACGCTATGATTATGGCTCATTAGTGGATGAATGTTCTTGATTGTCATTTATAAGAAATATATTTTAAAGAAAATATATGGGGGATTTTAAAAAATACTTTAAGTGATAGGTATATCTTCGCCGTGTAATCGTGTCGAAATTCTTTAGATTTGGTTTTATTTACTTAATATTAAGTAAATATTAACGAATTATGTGGTTTAAATTTAAGATATGTTGCAATTTCTACAGAAACTGACAGCAACCTGCTCGCTTTGCGTAGAATTAAATGTGCGTATAATAGATCCTGTATTACCGACAGTTGGTATGGATGCAGACTCTGGAATTTACGCAGTGGAATCTTGCTGTGTTTCTTATTTTGCAAATAATCCTGAGATGCACTGAATATTTCGTAAACGATGAAGACGGGGATAGTGTGTATGGAATATGTATTTATTTAACAGCCAAGATATGTCTAATCATATTTATTTGCTCATGTACTGTTACTAATAGATGCTATACGCTTAAATACAGATGATGTATTGCAGAAACGAATATACCAAAAAACTTAGCAATGTACACGCTATTCAAGTCACTTTTAAATAGATTATTTTATCGTTTATCGATTACATCGTCCAACAAGAGGGAGGGTGTACTGTTAAATATATTAATTTCATGGTTTCCAACGCTCGACGATCGAAAATAGCTTCGGCGAAGCGATTTCTTCGCAGAAATGGTCGCGTTAAAGAAGTACAAAAGGGAAAAAAAAAAAAAAAAAGAAAAATTAGCGAAGGACGGGAAAGTACAAAGAGTGGATGAAAGGATGATGGGACGAAAGTAACAGGGGAAGATAGATATCTCTATACAAAAATAATCGGCGAAAGGCGAGAAAATAAAACGCTCTCACGAACGCTCGATAATGAGCTATGATACAAGTCGACGAGATAATACTTTTTTTTTTTTTTTAATGAGATTAGACTGAATCGTAATCTTTTTCTCATACACTTCACACACAGGCACACGGAGATTCATTTGCTCTTCGTCTCTCTGACGTTTCCATGCATTCTTTTCCTTTCTCTCCCTTTCTCTCGAACTCTCTTTCAGCGTAACACGCGTGCATCTCGCTACACAATGGCTACGATGATAATATATTTGTTTGCTGTGTGATGTAAAACATAATACACGCTAACGCTTGCGAACAAACGAGACCGTCATCGAATGGTGTACCTAATTGTCATGCATGACACGTTGCTGTGCAAAACCTAATTTTAAAAGAGAAAAACACAGACAAAGAAAAGTATAAGAATACAGAAAATGTTCGCGTGGCTAAGAAATCTCGGTGCACGACTATTACATTCTCGAATCGATTCTTCCCGAGGAAGAGGACTCTCAACATCGCGCACCCGAATCCTCCTACTACTCCTGCACGTCGTGATCGATCGACTTTTCCACGTACTTAACGATCGATCAACGTCGACTCGCGCAACAACGGAAACGGAAAATATCTTACACGCAAATCTCGATGCTCTCTTTTTACAATGAAAACCTCTTCATCTTTGGTAGAAACTACTAAATAAATTATATTGTCGCTTACAGTAAGAATCAATTGCTCGGATTTAGCGATCGAAAGAAGCTTCCACGGGGCGCAAAACCGTGAAAAAATTCGGAATAATTTTTTGTTTCTATTTTTTTCTTCTTTTTTTCCTTATCTTATTTCATCGTCCTCCACGTCGTCTGATGCGGACGAAAAGACTCGTGGTCAATCGGTCGAGAGAGGACGACGCGTCCTGTTGGAAGTCTTTAATAAAAACGCTATGCAGCACGCGAGGTTCATCGCGCATGAACGGAAAAACGTCGTGCGTCCGTTTTGCTGCTCAAACGCAGCGCACGAAGAGGTAAACTAGAAAAATATACACGCATATACAAGGTCCTGAAGTACGATTCGGTGTGCTTGAGGATGTTACAACATGTCGGTGTGACAAACGCTGTTAATAATACAATATACAGAGTGTATTCTGTTATCATTCGATTTGCTGGTGTATTCTGAACTTAAAAAGTCGGCAAGCAAGTCCTGACGAATGTAAATCCTGATACTATTTGCTTCCAACGTTATGGACACTTTAGGTTATGTAGGTTATGTGATATACTTAATATATAGAAATGCATAAAAGCACTAGAATTAACATAAGTAATCCATTAAGAAAATTTGAATAGCTCAAATGACGGATGACACAATGTATTAAGCTATAATACCAATGGCACCCAGCCTAATACGGATGGTTAAAAATATTATGAACACTTGTCTCAAAATCAGTTTACTAGCAAAGCTGTTCTTGTCATTCTCAGCACTAAAGTTGTTAAATTTAGAGCTTGTCAAGAATATTCATAAGAATTGTTGATTCTATTTAAGCATATTTTATCCTAGAAGGAAAAGCTTTGAAATATATGTATACATATATATATATATTGTGAGTTATCTACTTAATATTAGATCTACCTAAAGCTTGAGGCATGCAAACAATAACTGATGATCATGTATATCAGTGTCAATAATACATTAAAAAACACTTTTGCTAGTGACGTTACATCTTTCACCTCTCTAATAACTGATTGTAATATTTAAAAATAAGGTTTTAAATTGAACAAAGTAACCGTGTTCCAGAGTCAAACTAAATCAGAACTCACACTCATCGGAAATTTGTAACCAGTATTTAAGATCCGGAATACACTTACAAATCTTGCAACAGAACTTCCAACTAACTCCACAATATAATTCTCCATACATTATGCTAGCGTTTACGGTGCATGCGGCTGTGCGTCAAGGTACGTATACACGATGCTAAACGAATAACAGAAAACAGAAAAATAAACACAGAAGGAAGTGAAACGAAAGAAGAGACAGACATCGTTTACCGTCTAGCGGGGGCTCGTCCTGTCCGTTTGCTTCTCGCTTTCATCCGCCATCAAACGAGTCGATCGACTTCGTTGCTGCCTATCGATACAGAGAATTAACCTATCCTTGCGTCCTAACCAAGAAACCTAACCTGTCCACCTAACCTCGTCGACTTTCCGGCTCGTTCATGTCGAACGAAGGAAAGTCGTTCGGGACCAATTCTCGGAACGATGTCAGATGTTAAAAGCCAGCGATACGAATGGTCGATCGACTTTTATCAACTTCGACTCGAACGAGAGCTGCTACGAGCATTCGCAATTATGAACGACGCGAGGCCTCGCGACGTTCGCGACCTAACTCGGTACAAATAATCCTAACGCTATGTGTCACATTAAACTCGACGTAAATTATCTACTTAAACCGTTTGCCTATTTACTAGGTAGCCTCTATTTTCGCACGCCTTTCACTCTTTCTCTTTCTCGCTCTCTTTCTCTCTTTGTTCTCGACGCTCGCGTACTTCTCTTTCTATTTTGCCTAGATTCGTCAAACCTAGCAAGTGTATCCTCGTGGAACTTCTTCGCAGGATTGCGGTACTCCTCTCGAATGCGTGTTACCAAATGAAGAAACAGCGAACGCTCGGGATCAAACTAGTTTGGAGAAAAAGTCAGACTTCGAACTTGTCTCTTCCCCCCTCGCTATTTCTCATTCGGAACACGTGCTAAAGCGTTTAGAACGCGAGCAAATCGTGTGAATCGAGTCGTTCTCGAGACTCTGATCGGGTTCGTCAATCGAGAAGCGTCAAACGCGATTCTTCTCGTTCTACGTTGATTCACCGGGTGTATTGGCCTGGTCTTCGAGCGGTAACTAGGGATGGTGATGTCCAGGTGGCACTGGTTGCCTATTCTCTCTCTTCCTTTCTCTTTCTCTCTCTACTTCTATCTCTATCCGTTTTAACAGGACGAACTTTTCAGCTCGCCGATATCAGCGATGTTCTGCAGCAACGCGGCCGCCTCGTTGCTCGATTGGCTCGACTTTGCGTTGTATCGTTGCTTCAGGGTGCTCAATGCGGACAACAGTTTTGTGTTTGATGTCATTAGACGCGAATTCGCGGCGTCCAGGGCGGCTATTTGCTGCTCCTGCGCATCGATCACGCGCTGCTTGTACGACAGCGCAGCCGACATCTTCTGCTGTTCGCGCCGTAGCTCCTCCTCCACAGAGATTAACCTAAAAATGATGAAACATACGTCGTTTTAGCTGGTTCTGTACACGATAATTGGATATTCCAACCTCGCGATCCACGTCGCGATCTTCGCCATGAAACCGCCTCTGTTTATTCAGGTAATCGTTTATTTTCTTCCGACATTTTTAGGTTAGAAATTTGAACACTAATAGAAAATTGTTTTAAGATCTTTCTTGGAGGAACAGAGACAGTTTCGATGGTACTGAGCACACATGGAACTGAGCCTCGACTGTGAATTCTCTCTGGTTTTATGTACTGAAATTCTTGATTGAAAATTTTTTAATTTTATTCCGAGTAATTATAGTAACGGATATGTACGTATGTGTTTTTTTTAGAGAGATTTCTCAGGGAGGTTTGTGAGGATCCAAGCGCACCAAGATGCATATATCGAAGAAAAGAACACCAATGTACTTCGGAAATGAAAGTCAAAGGAAGCAGCAGTGTCTGGTGCAAAATATCATACGCTGAGATAACCAAAAAGAACGATCAATAATGCAGCAGGGTAACGGGATTTTCTTTCGATCAAAGAAGCAAGGCGTCTGCTTCTGCAATTGACCACAATCAAGTTCGTGTGTAAATTGAAGGAAACGTTCAGGATAATGCTGTAATTAGTAGAATAATTTTTTATCAAACACAGAAAGGTTCATACGAAAAATGAACCGTTAACAATTAGTGTATTGTTAGTTTGAAACAGTTATTTTGATTAAAAATTAAAAATCTTGGTTAGAAACTTTCAATATAATTTATTAGTCTATATTTTTCTTGATTTTTAGTATCACATGTATTAAATAATTAACAAATACGTGTACCAATATCTTGGAAACTTTCCAATAGCTGAAACTGTTTTTGAAAATTATATAAATGTTATGTTAATTTTGGAAAGACAGTGAAGTACTAGGAAGATGAAATTTAGTTTCAGGAAAATAGAAGAATTAAAAATAAGTTTTGATATCTTATTAATGTCTTGTAATACACCAATGTTTAATAGTACCATTTTTCAATCTTATCTTCATCGTGTAATCAGCAAACACAACTTTCAAATAAATGTAATTCTAAGTGCAAGTTTAAACATCTAGCTCGTTTTAACGTAAACACGTGTTATTAACACGTGTGTAATCATTGACATAAAATTACGTCATTTTGTAAAGTGGCAGAAAGATGTGATAAAACAACGTGAAATTGTAAATGAATCCTAATCAAGTGTTTCTATTACAACTACTATAACTATTGTAACTGATAATTACTTTGTTAACTATAAATAACAAGTAGCCGTCAGTGTGGTATTTTAACACGAATTATATCATTCATATCCTTCTGCAACAACAAAAGCTATACTTTTTCAAGTAGCTTTCATTAGGTTGATCGTAAAGTTCTGTCGTTGAATTCTACCGAACCTAACCTAACTTGTGGATTTTCACTTGCAAATTATAAAATGGCGACATAACATAGCTAGTAAAATTAACAACCATTAATGTAAACAATTTCGGTTGACAATCAACTAAAAAGAAATAAATCACTCGAAATCAGGATTTAAAAAATACTAATTATTATTATACTAATTATATTTAAAAAATACTGTTTCTAACAAATAAAAAATACTATTTCTAATACAAAAAAAAATAAAAATTCCGCGTTGACGAAATAAATAATTAAATATTAAATTAAAAATTAATCAATAAAAATTGCTCTAAAATAAAAATCCTCTTTTTAAATAAATATCTGACAGAACTCTTCGATCAATCTAACACTTTCCAAAAAACAGTGTTCAATCATCGGCAGTGAAGTATGAAAACAAAGTAACATCGAAGCCATTCAAAAATAGTTTTAATATCACGAAAAAAGAAAAAAAAAAGTCGAAAAATCATTTATCCATGTCTATTCTCAAATAAAATTCTACCATACTTCAACTTTACTCTAACATATCCGAAACACAATACTTGCTATAGCTCGACTGTTTCACACTACGCTGGACATCGAACTCGAACTAGTAATAACACATCCACAATCCGCAATCGGTTGGCAAACCGTGTGTCCATAAAAATACTTCCAACTACCATAATCCGAGGGAACGGAAAGAAAATGCGTCTAATAAATTTTGCAACTGAATGGAACATAAAGACGATCAGCTATCCTGAACATTTCCCGGGCACGTTGCAACACACGGTAACGCAGACCTGGCGCACAAAGATCGTTGGTTGCAGAGAGTGAGAACCGTGCACACGTGGAACAGAACGAACGCGTGATCGAGAGGCGTGTGTGAGGCTGTCGGTGTCGGATAACGAGAAACTTGGTGAAGTATCGATATGTGGCTGACTGAAAGAATGTTTTTTGGACGGTGATGTAAGTATAAACACGCAGGGTGAGAATGCTGGTATTCATCGAACAGAGTGATTCAGAGTATAGTTATTACATATAAATCAGGTGAACGGACATCGAGCGTCCGTAACGAGTCGCTTTTCAAACGCGTTACACAGAGAGAAAACGTATTGGCGCGTGTCTTTGTCGGATAAAACCAAGAGAGAACACGAGATATCATAAATATATATATTATATATAACATGAGTTCAAAAAACGCTAAAAACATGTGATGTAAAAATGTAAGAAGCTTAGAAATATAATTGACTCTTACACCAAGGTCCAGATCAAGCCAGAGTATACCAAATGCAGCGGATAGAATGCACAGGAACACACAATCAATTAAACATACATTATTTCGAGAAACAGTAACTGTGGCTCGGTGGTATTTTCCAATTTTTATTTATTAAAAAAAAAAAAAGAAATTCTTTTCTGGGTTCTTTATTCTTTTATTCTGGTATTCAGTATTATTTATACAAGAAGGTAGGATTTGCGTTTGTTCATATTTTTCGCTTGGCTCGGTTTTACTATTTTTTTTTCCTTTTTCTTTTTTTTAGATATTTACACAATTTATTTAACAGTAAGCAATGGTTGCTCTTGAGTGGTATGGAATTATTGGCAGACAGAGCTGAAGTACTGTGATAATAACTTGTAAAATATTCTCAAATTTGTATTATGTAAGTTCAAGACACCTTTGTATTTTAAAAATTAAAGAAAGTTGTTTATGTTATGAAATAAAAGAAAAGTGAATGCAAATATTATATTCTATAAGACTGGAGTTATAATTATAATTTAGAAAGCACTATTTTTAATACTAACATTTCCATTCTGATATATCTTAGGAAAATTTACAGAGAACCTGAAGAGTAATTTTATAATAAAAATTAGTTCCAGGGTAACAACAATAATCAGATATAGTGAAGTCTAATTTGTATTATATAAGTCTAAGGCAGTTTTGTATTTTAAAAATTAAAGAAAGTTGTTTATGCTATGAAATAAAACAAAAGAATGTAACATATTGCATTCTATAAGACTGGAATTATAATTATAATTATAATTTAGAAATCACTATTTTTAATACTAACATTTCCATTCAGATATATCTCAGGAAAATCTACAGAGAACCTGAAGAGTAATTTTATAATAAAAATTAGTTCCATAGTAACAACAATAATCAGACATAGTGAAGTCTAACAGTAACGTTAGAATCTGTGATCCTAGCTACAATGCATTACGATTCATTCATATTTATAAACCCCCCACAGGCACGAAATCACACTATCCCCTTTCAAGTCACCATAACCAGCTCTGTCTGCCATATCAGAGGTCACGTTTCATGATTGTTGATCGATCTCGCTGAGAATCATGTTTCCAAAAGAGATCAACGGAGAGTTGTTCTGCGAAGAAACCATCGAGGCGAATCGACAGTCTCTCCACGGACCCTTGTCTTCATATAGAAGACGTCGGATGAAAAAAATCGCTATGAAGAAGTGAGGAGAGGATGGAAGAGAAGAGAACCGACGTGACTGATCATGAGACGGAAGGGCTCGAGTGAAACGCAAGAGAAAAGTGGTAGTCGTCATGGTGGTGGGGTGATATCACACTCAGGCAAAGAATCAATCGATGGGTTAGTAGTCGCGTTAATGAGGATTAAGTACCTGGAAATGATGCTCTTCATCTTGGTATCCGGTGCAACGCCATCTATATCGGTATCCTCGGTTGCGCCTAACCGGGCCCTCAGTCGATCTACGCTACTCTGCAGCCTCTCGATTTCCACTTCATACTGGAAACGAAGAGACGAGGCGTTGTTAGTTACAAGACACATACGGACAGGCGTTCCGTTAGGCGAAAGATCAGAGAAAGAGACAGAGGAAAAAGTAGATGGCGTCTCGCTTGGTAAAAGAGGCATTGTAAAAGAGGAACTTGTTATTCACAACGATCACGTTACAACAAATATATATATATACACATAGAGATATGATGGATTGAAAGAGAATTATAAGTTCCTCTTTGATCTGGTAAGATAGGTTGAGTGGAAGATTGAATTATGGTTCCCTTGTCCTGATCGTTGCTGGAAAATTGAAGAGGTCTTTTTATATGCTTGGTTTCATGGATGATGGATAAATCGAATCCACGTGAGATCAGATCCTACAAAGAGATTAGTAATAAATATATTGCACAGGAAAATCATTATACCATTGTGAATTTAATTATTTATAAAATAGTACCATGTTCTGATAATAAATGGACATAACCTAAATTTCTACTTGAGAAAGAAAATGATAATACTATGTGATCCAAGAAGTTCTTTATAATTTTATTCGTCACCGAAGAAACCAAGGACTGTGGACATTATGATAAATATATTACACCTATTACCTGATCGATGCTTCGATGACTGCGAGATTTGCTCCTCCTCGTTGTGCAGCTCTCCTCCTCGCTGGTATCAGACAGATCTCGCGTCGAGTCTAACGACAGCCTCCTCCTCAATTTCGTGCAACAGATACTCTGATTCTGTTCCGAGTTATTTCTGTGCGTCTGGTTGGTCTGCCTCCACTGATTCTGGTTATTTCTCTGCAGATTCCTTACGTTATTTTGCGGCGGTGGCGAAGGGCTGAGATCCACGCCTCTCACGCCCTCTACTCCCCCTCCACTTCCATCCCTCTCCTCTGAACTACTGCTGCCTCTCCTGCCGTTCCTTCCGTGATTCGATTCCATATGGTAAACAGGATTGGTGAAAGCCAGCGGAGCGGCATTGAGTATATGTGCGTTTGCATTGTTGCTGCTGAGATCCACGGGGCTGGAGCTTTGGCTGTAAGCAGCGAAGCTCTGATAACCCGACGAGGCAACGTTGCTTAATTGGGAAATTGATATTTGTGATCCTTTTTGTGATTTTGATTCCGATACTTCGTCATCGGCGTACCTCAATAGATCAGACAGCTCGTCCAGGTTGCCATTCGCAGTCGTGTTGTTTGTCTTGCTGTTGTTGTAATTGTTGTTTGGCTGATGGTTAATCGACAGCGTGAGGTTCGACGGGGGATTCACCACGACGTTTGCGTTTACCGTAGTCTTAGACACGTTGTTATAATTCTGATGCTGCATCTGATTCGCGTTCTCTTCCTTGTTGCAGTGGTTCCTGCTAGTTGATCTCGAAACGTTGTAATTATTGTGATTGTAGTTGTCCTCCCTGTCATGGATGTCCAGGTTCTGCAGCCGCGCTATGTTGTGTCTATGGTTCTGCTGCTGTTGCTGCTGGGACATGATAGTGCAGTTGTTCGCCTGATTGATTTGCGACGTGGTAATGTTGTAATTTGAATCTTTCAGATTGCTGTGACTCTCGGATCTTGTTGGGCTGGTGGGGTGCGTCTGGCAGTGATTTACATTCGCCAGGCTTGCACTGGCGGTCAATCTGTATCCCGCGCCTGTCCTGTTCGTCCCTATTGCTCTATGTTGTCTCACTATAGGTGTGGGTGAACGTGACACAAAGGCTGGTGGTTCGAGTGGATAATCGTCCGTGGTAATTTGCAATTGCAATTTTCCATTGGTCGGCATGTATGCATTGCGAGGAAGAGTGGCAGCCCTGGCTACATTAGGGCTACGAGAGCTGTTGTGGCCCAGTGTGTTCGACTGTAGCACTTCGTTACTGTCTCTGATCGTTCCGTTCAGGGTACTATGATTGCTCAAGGTAGACGTTGCTGATACAGACAGGTTAGTGTTGCTATTCGCTATTGTGGGATCGTTATAGCGGAATATATTATTTTGTAGATTTGGATAGCGATGAGAAGCGGGCACTGGGCTTGGACCCGATTGATCTAAGGCTATGGAGATCCTCTCGAGGATCTCTGGTAGTCTCGATGGAGGCAGTGATGAGGAGAACGAAGTTATCGTGACCAAACTTTCACGTAGAAGCGCATGCAGGAGGGACAATTGTTTTCCCAGGTCTATGTATCCGTCGAATTCCAAGGAGTTATTCGCCGGTGCATCCTTTGGCAGGGGGCTCTGTAAAGGTCAATTTTCATGGTGACAAATATTCTATCCGATTAATTAATCTTTTAAAAAGAAACTGAAATTGTTACGTACGCTGATTAGTTGAAGGAAATTCTTCATAGATGGCGCTTCACGTTCCAGTAGGTCGTTCATGAATTCCATGAAGTTTTCTTTTCCCTGGAATCTCGTGAAGTTGGCTAGAGTTTGAAGAGTTTTAGCTACGAGAGTGAGATTCCTTGCTGCTTTTTCATTTGGGTATTCTGAAAAAAATACTTTACTTCTGTTTTAACGTCTTCAAACACCTTACCGACTGTAGATATTATCACTTATATTTACCGTACATACTATTCATTATAGATACTATCATTTCTCAAAACATTTCTTAGGGTCTCTTATCTTTTAAACATAATGTGAAAGATCATTATACAATATCTTATTTAATTATTTAATTATTAACATGTATGTATCTACGTAGATATAATATAATATAATAAAAATAATTTATAATATCGACATAAAATGCAAAATTGCACATTTTTTCGCGACCACGAATGCGAACAATTTCGCCAGGAATAAATGAACATATTTCCCGTCGTTCCTACCATACCTGCCTGCTCTAGAAGACCGTGGAAGGGCTAAACTAAGCAAGGCAAGGTAGTATTTTAAGCTTTCGACTCACCGTGAGTAATGTTGAAGAGGGACGGGCTCAAGATGGCCGGGCAGAGGAATCTGAGGAATATAGACGCAGAGATCAGATTGTCAGCTATGTCCTCACGGCCCATGTCAGCCAGACGTTCGCGGAATATACGGAAGCACTCGCGTAATTCGAGAGGAAAGTGAGCGTGGCTAGCCAGTATCCTGCTCCAGGCGAGCTCCACGGCGTTCCGTAGATTCTGTTGCTGCTTGTGAAGGGCCGCCACAGAGGCGACCTTCAGCGGGTCCACCTCGCAGTCGCCACCCTCCACCGCTCCTCTTACAACGGCTCCCAAGGTCTCCTGTAGGTACCTGTCGCCCGTCAACTTCAGGTAGGCCTCCATCGCCTTCGTGGCCAAGGAATTTCCTCGAAAGGTGAGCCTCTCGTCGTCTGAAATTCAATATTTGCCGTTAATAAACGGTCGAATATTTGCTGGAAGGATTTCAGCTTTCTTAACCCTTCAGGCGAGATCAGTTTTGCCTTGGAGTGGGCAAGATTTTTAGAACAGCTCAGGGACCAGGGTCTCTGATGAACATAATTTGGTAATTTATCTTTTCTGACTTATTTTTCTAATTTTAGGCAGTCTTTTTGGTTAACATGGATGTACTATTTATTATACAAGCCAGTGGTTCTCAACCGGAGAAACGTTTATTAATGGTAAGTTCAATATTCCCAAATCTTATATGAAATTTCAAAATTAGGTACAGTGTGGTGTATTACAATGAAAAGGCACTTTCTATAAGGCAGTACGTGACTTGATCACATATTGGCTGGTTGGTACGTGAGGAAAAGGCGTAAGGAATCGTTGCTATATGCCATATTTATTATCCAAGTGTTAGGTTAGGTTAGGTACTATATTTAACGCTCACTTTCGGTTTACAAATTGGGAAATACTCTAGGTGTACAGTTCCAGCAATAAATTAATGTATATTACAAACTGAACTCTTCTTGTAGGCTGTTAAAGGATAACCTTTTGCAATTCTGTTGTGCCAATTTCTTATATATACGTTCACTGAACGTTTCAATTGTATTCCTGCTCGACTGCAAAGAGGCAGACATGACTCACCTATTCTGTGTATATCCATCATCACCAAGTCGGCGAGAAATTGAGGCGCTTTCTTTTCGCGTTGCATGACGGCAACCAAAGCGGTGGCGATGTCCTCCTTCGCTTTGACACCGATCACCGGCTCCAATTTCTCGCACAAGGACGCATAATCTGTCTTCAAATACTCCAAGAACTCCTGGTATACCTGAACCGGCAGTATGTCCACAGATTGGAAACGACATTTCACCCTCAGCGCTGGTGGTTCCTTCAGAGGGCCTTTATCCCCGACGACGGTGTACCATTTCTCCGTTAGGTAACGAGACGTCACGTTGTGCACTGGTATGCTCACGGAACCTGAAGACAGTTTCAAGCGTTTTGACAGCGATTAGGAAACGTTTATAATATAACGAATTTGAATTTGAAAAATTAGTATCGTCGAATACCGGTGACCACTATAGTCCCACTGAGAAGACAACCGCCAGTCACTGGTGACCACTATAGCAGTTAAGGTGTTAATATTAACCCTTTGCACTCGAGAGGCGCCACTCAGTCACCATTTAATCAGATTCTAAAGATGGATGTCAATTAATACAGTAAATTTACAATTAGCCAACGATGCGTGGAACATCGAAGTAAAATAATTCTACGTCTTAACCCCTTGGCTACTATGAGCGCCTATAGACGCTCGGCGTAATTCGGCTTTTTGACACGGAGGGCGCTTGTTTTCACAAAAATGGCGCACATCGTAACTCAATTCCTGCCCTATGGTACGGCCGTAGTCAAGGAGTTAATTTGCATATGATCTCCTATTTACCGTTTTAGAAATATCGTCGACCTTATGGCAGAAAGTCTTCGAATTACTATTTTACTGTAACGAAAAATTCGCCGAGTGCAAAGGGTTAAAATTCGTTTTACTCTGAAATATGAAAGAATACTAGCCATTTGGGCATGAGAGGCACTCTTCAGTCTATATTTGATAAAATTTCGAAGCTCGATGTTTATTAATATGTCAAATTTCAGATAATGTAATGGTGTGCGAGGTATCGAAATTAAATAATTCTACGTGTTAATTATCACACGACTTTTTATTCACTGCTGAGAAAAATATCGTCAGCTTTGTAACAAAAAATCTTTGAACTCTTATTTTCATCTTTAACCAAAAAATCGTCGAGTGCAAAGGGTTAGGTTATTTGGATAAGGATGTTAGGATATTTCAGAAAGTACAGTGTAATCCGACAGATGGCACTGCCTTACTATTTAGAAATAAAAAGGGAGCTCTTTAAAAATAATTTCGAATATTGTTTCGAACATACAGATCTTTTTTTAACAATATATATTGTTAATTATTTCTAATTTTTAATAATAACTTAATAATCATAATAAAAATAATTTTTAATTATTTGAAATATTTTTAACACTTTGCCACGCATTTCTTATATGGTGCGCTCAGAGGGCGCCACGATGAAATTTCTATTATTCTTAGGTTATAATGATGAATTATCAAACAAAATGGCAGAACAAAAATGGCGCAAATTATTAATGTCTTCTGTTCAAAATTCTCTATCTATTTACGTTCTTCGAATTTTCAAAATGTGGTTGGAATAAAACAAATATAAATTTAAAGAATTAGTATTACTGAACACTGCTGTCCACCATAACCTCACTGAGGATATAAGAGCGAAACAAAAATGGCGCAAATGATTAATGTCTTCTGTTCAAAATTCTCTATTTATTTACGTTCTTCGAATTTTCAAAAAATGGTTGGAATAAAACAGTATTGGTTGGAATAAAATTAGTATTAGTAGACACTACTGTCCACCATGACCTCACTGAAGAAACAAGCGACAATCACTGATGATCACTATGATAATCAATTAACGTGTTAAATAACTCTTCGTCGAATTATTAAAGTAACAATAAAGACAGAAGATCTCAAATGCTTGTAAGGTCATGTTAATTAATTTAGTGATACCGGGTGGCAAATAAAAATTTCAGGAACCAGTTGCTGCGACTAGTTCGATAATTCTAACGTTACACGATAATTTGGAAAATAAAGTATCCGGGACCGGTCATTTTGATTGATTTTGTTGAATCTAATTCCAGTATCGGATTTCTCAATTTCCTCGGACATGCTGGATAAGTAAAGAAACCATCGGTAACTGATACGAGCAATTTAATTCTGATTTAGACTCACCGATCAAGACATTTTTATCCCTCTTCTTCTTCCTGTCAGCCTCCCTGTACAGGTTCACCTGTATAGTGTTGACGGAAGGCAAGTGATGGAAATCGAAGTGCTCGCCCCAGAAGCATAGGTCGGCCTTCAGTTTCGCGGTGGTTCTCGCGTACAAAGTGCTGTCCAGGCAGACCTCGCAGAAGTATCGTTTCTTCGCTGGCACACCTTTAGCCTCGAGCAGCCAGATCTGCAGGGAATTGTCCGTTCGTCGTGTCTGCTCCGCGTCAGGTTGAACGGATTTCCTCAAGCTGTGACCAACGATCGATGCACACCGATTAATTTCAAGGACGAGTATATCCTCGCGAGAAGTCGCCATATTTTCTCGTATCGAAAGATAATTAGTGGAACGAATTTGAGGACAATTTTCTACTATCAATGCTGTACCTTATTTAGTAATTTTCTCCAGGTTCCAACGCTATCATTTGATACCGAAGAGGAGAAAGCAGTGGAAAGAAAGTTACCCAGGAGACATTGTTATCCAGGGGAATTGTTTTGTCTATGTTTGCTGATTTTAACAAGTATAATTAGCACGTTTAATTGTCACTGAACTGACAACTGTGCGTTAAATGGTCGTAAAGATTGCAAGTCTTCGCAGAAATACGGAGAGAATAACGAGAGAAATGTCTTCTCGAGATTATATGAGTGAAATCGGAAAATGAGTATTCGAGTGCGACGTGTAACAATAGTTGGAAACAGTATTAATTAAAAAGTAAAAGGTTTCGGTATGTTACAAATCCATATTGCGATGAAATAACAACCTTACGACGACTTTCCAATGAGCACACTAGCGCCACCATTACTCGTTACTTATATTCGTGGTAAATTTGTTATAAGTATCGCATATATTTTACAAAATGAATTCTAAATTTTACAAATTTTACCTTGAAACTTTGCTTTTGCTGTACATATATATTATATAACATAATTTTAAACATTCATTTATAAATAACTAGGCTCAAACGAAACGAAGAGGTTATAAATGACTGTATCTAGCAACGACTCATTAATTTTCAAGTGACACGCCCGGTGGCGCCACTGTCGATGCACACTGCTAATTTCACTGTGCATACGCAAGATTTTCGCGAGATTTTCGTTCTACCACCGAATATATAAACTTTTTTCAATCTAAGATATCTATAAATTTTACCTTGAAACTTCACTTTTGCTGTATATATATATATTATATAATATAATTTTAAACTTTCATCCATAAGTAACTGATTCGAACGAAACAAAGAGGTTATAAATGACTGTATCTAGCAACGACTCATTAATTTCGAAGTGACACGCCCGGTGGCGCCACTGTCGATGCACACTGCTAATTTCACTGTGCATACGCAAGATTTTCGCGAGATTTTCGTTCTACCACCGAATATATAAACTTTTTTCAATCTAAGATATCTATAAATTTTACCTTGAAACTTCACTTTTGCTGTATATATATATTATATAACATAATTTTAAACTTTCATCCATAAGTAACTGATTCGAACGAAACGAAGAGGTTATAAATGACTGTATCTAGCAACGACTCATTAATTTCGAAGTGACACGCCCGGTGGCGCCACTGTCGATGCACACTGCTAATTTCACTGTGCATACGCAAGATTTTCGTTCTATCACCGAATATATCAACTTCTTTTCAATCTAAGATATCTATAAATCTTAAACTTCCCCAAACAGCTTAGTAGAAAATTCTCCAAGCTATATTACGTTTCAATAAGCGTCTCAATACTTATAACCAAAAACGAAGATACCTTATTCGATAAGATACAGCAGTCTCAAAGAACCAAATTACCAAGATCAAAATAATCGATCAAAGACTCAATAAAAGTCACCAAACATAACAAACAACGCGAAACCTAACCTCAAATCGAGAAATTAAACAACGCTGCAATAAAATCCGAGGAAACGTGCAAGTTGTGAGCACAGAGCCATGATTACCAATGGCTGAGGATTGCCAATACAGACCAGCTCCGGCATCAAACGGCAACGTGTCATTCTTGTAATGACTGGACATTTAACAGCCAGAGCTGGTTCGGATTCGTCAGCGTCGCGTAACCGTTCTTCCTTCCCCGGGTGGAGGAAGAGGTTCGGAGAAAGAGAGAGAGAGAGAGAAGGAGGCAGGAAGAGGAAAAAAGAAGAAGACTCGGGGAAGAAGCAGCACGTTGAAGAAGAAGAAAAAGAAGGGGCAGAGGAACGGTACCAACCTGTGTAACCACTGGTCCCGTTCGTGAGCGGTCCTGCAACTGAAATACTTGGGCCCACCGGTGCTGGGTGTGACCTGGAAGCAGTGAGGTCTGCCAAGCAGGCTCGGATGCAGCGGTGTCACGGCCGCGAGGTCCATCGAGGTCACCGCCTGTCCGCAGAGCAGGGACTCGTGTGAACGGCAACCCCGAAGTCCGGCGCCGCGTTGCTTCTGTCGCTCGAGCTTCGTCACGCTCTTCGTCCTCTTCAGCGGGTTCGAGCGGAACGACCTCTTCGAGAAGAAGTTCTATGGACAGGCAAACAGATAGGGTGGTGAACAGCGCGTACGTACTCCGCGTTGCAGGAAAGAAGTCTTCTCGTTCGGTTGCGGGGCAAGAGGGGTATTCCACTTGCTCCGCCTAAACTCTCGTTAGTAATACCCACTCTTCTAGGACACTCCCAAAACTACTATCCCCAAGTTCGGTAACGTGGTACGTTAACATAGGCGTAGGATATCCGCGAAAGAAACGTTATCTCAGAGTTAACTTGCAATGAATTGCAAGCACTGCTACGCCAGGCAATAAACGAAACGACACCAAATGATTGGAGAAGATTTTGTAAATGCGTAGAAACACTGGAACACGAATATTGGGCGAAAGATGGAATAATAGAAGACGCAACTGAAGACCTAGAATTGGAAATACAAAGCAGCGAGTCGGATAAGGAATCAGATGACAGTAGTTCAAAGATTTATAAAGTAAAGAAGTACAAAAGTAATAATAATTAACTTCGTTTATGAAAATTGATTTAAAATTTAAGATGTATTTTTTATGATAAATTAATTATGTAATTGCATCGTACTAGATAACCGTTTAAAAAAATCACACGATACAACATAAATATAAAAAGTATGTGTATAGTACATCGCGTTTGCTGCATAATGCAATGAAAAGTTAATCGAGATGCTAATTAGTAATTAGTAATTGCAAATAATCACGTGTTCATCGGAAGAATCCGAAGTTAATATGCTTTTGGGACGAGTCTACGCTTTTGCATCTATTTTTTCCGTCTGTCTCGCTTTGCCTCGTTGCTTTGTTCGCTTTCTTTGTTACATGGTGTTCTATGACCGGGCTAATAGGAAGGGGTCAGTTTTGCCAATAAGGGAAGCGTTTTACTCTACTTCTGCCATGATGTAAGAATGGTTGGGCTGGTCGGCATTCGGTCCTACAAGTTTCTCAGATGACTTCTCTCGTGCAACGCATAGTACGTGGAGCGGATATGGGGTGGGTGAGAAGCGTGGGTAGTCGAGGTATAGGGCAACCCTATAGGGGCTGTAGGGTTTGGGGTCGTTTCCGGGAATGGCGGGTAGATTTAACTTTGGGGTTGCGAATAATTTTGAACAAAGATGAGATATAAGAGGAAATTGCGCAGAAGGTTTGCATTTGGTTTGAGGATTTAGGGGTTGTGTAATTGAGGATTGTGTAAGTTTGGTGGGAAAATGGCATAAGGGTATTCTATGAAAATCAGATAAACGTAGGACACGAGGATATGTACAATTAGGGTTGGTATAGAATATTTTGACTGTTTTAATGTTTGTGAGAAATTAAATGGGTGTGAAAAGTGATATTTGAGATTCATGTTTGTTTGCAAGATTTAGGGTGAATTTTGTAATTAATGTAAGTGAGGAGTGTTGCATTTATCATACCAAGTATAATAATAGTGTAATTTGTAATTAATTATAATATATTCAATTATGTTATGTATATTACTTTTCACATATTATACTTAGATTATAGTAATTATACTATGCAAATACTTACACAAGAATATAAGTATCTGTATATAATTCTATAATATGCAGCATTATTTAAGTGTAATAGTTGAAAATGATATACTATAATTGTATACTAATATACTTACAATGTAGTAATTAGTATGCAAATATTTATATAGACATATATGTTAAAAGTATCTGTATATAATACTATAATATGCAACAATATTTAAGTATAATAATTGAAAATGATATACTATAATTGTATACTAATATACTTACAATGTAGTAATTAGTATGCAAATATTTATATAGACATATATGTTAAAAGTATCTGTATAGAATACTATAATATGTAGCAATATTTAAGTATAATAATTGAAAATTATATACTATAATTGTATACTTATATATTTACAATGTAGTAATTATAGTATGCAAATATTTCTATAGATATATAAGTATTATATAGTACAATACTATAATACTTATAATACTTATAATATTATAATACGCAGCAATATTTAAGTATAATAATTGAAAATTATATACTATATTTGTATACTAATATACTTACAATGTAGTAATTATAGTATACAAATATTTATGTAAACATATAAGTATATTAGAATTATCTGTATATAATACTATATATTAAAGTATAATAATTGAAAATTGTATACTATACTTGTATACTTACATACTTACATTATTGTAATTATTCTATGTAAATATTTACACAAGTATATAAGTATTTGTATATAATACTATAATATGTAGCAATATTTAAGTATAATAATTGAAAATTATATACTATACTTGTATACTAATATACTTGCAATGTAGTAATTATAGTATGCAAATATTTCTATAGGTATATAAGTATATCAGAAGTATCTGTATATAGTACTATAATATGCAGCAATAATTAAGTATAATAATTGAAAATAGATAATAATATATATATAACAATAATAATTGAAAATGTCAATTTCGATCATCTTATTTCCATTCAATACCTATTCTGACAAATTCCCGATGTATACCCAGTTCTGTTCATCGCTATATTTACCATTCACGGTCTGATCTGAGGTATAGTAAACAAAATCCATTCTCCGTGTTACATATTATACACCTACTTTTCACCGCTATTTTGCTTTAATAACCCAGCTTCTTGGAAGCCGCGTATCAAATCAATTTCGCATTCTTCGCCGTTAAATCGTGATTGACGATCGAGCGATGTTGCACGATCCCTTTCAAACAGCTTTTCTGTCGATCGCCCCGCGCAAACATTCCCCGCATCAAATTAATTACACGAAGATTAATTGACCGGCGGTGCTGCAATGCGATGTGTGACGTGACTTTAACTTTGATATACGATATAACTGTTCAATGTGTTCCCCTTGCCGGTTAAACGTGTCTTCTTCTTCGAAAGTTAAACGCATTCTGGCAATCTACTTCGCGCACACAGGGTGTATCTCAGGCTGTTGCATGCACACTGATATCTCTCAGTGAGGGAACAGAGTGCTGTGAGAGACGAACATGGGGATTTCAGTGTTTCATCTAACGTGGAGGAGTATTTTTGCAGTGTCGAGATTTGTCTGTGGCTGTGTGTACTTGCGGGGAGGATACGTAAGGGTGGTTTGTGGATTTCAAGGGTGAGAATGAGGTTGATCGAGTATGAAATTTGTAATTTCCATTATTAGCTAAAGAACTATAATTTTAATCATTTAGAATTTTCATAATTATCTTTAGAATTATTAGAATTATTATTTAAAATTATTAGAATTATTAGAATTATTATCTAAAATTATTAGAATTATCAGAATTGTTAATTAATTATTTTCATAATTATCTTTAGAATTTCTATAATTATTTAAAATTTCCATTATTACCTAAAGCCCCTAGAATTACTTCTCATTTCTGTAATTGTAATTACTTAGAATTTTCATAATTATTTTTAGAATTATTCGAATTATTGGAATTATCAGAATTATTAATTAATTATTTTCATAATTATTTGTAGAATTTCTATAATTATTTAACATTTTCATTCTTACTAAAAGTCCCTAGAATTCCAATTTCTCTAGTTCTATTTATTTAGAATTTTCATAATTATCTTTAGAATTATTCGAATTATTAAAATTAATATTTAAAGCTATTAATTCATTATTTTCATAATTATTTTTAGAATTTCTACAATTATTTAAAATTTCCATTATTACCTAAAGCCCCCAGAATTACTTCCAATTTCTCTAATTCTAATCATTCAGAATTTTCATAATTATCTTTAGAATTATTCGAATTATTGAAATTATTAGAATTATCAGAATTATTAATTAATTATTTTCATAATTATCTTTAGAATTTTTACAATTATTTAAAATTTCCATTATTACCTAAAGCCTCTAGAATTACTTCCAATTTTTCTAATTCTCCATTCTTATGCATAAATAAATTATCACCATGGTTAACACTAAACATACCATAATCTAAATCACCGTTTTCCAAATTTTCGTTAAAAATTTCGCGTTCAATATTTTCACCTTGATCACTCGTCCTTAGAATTTTTCTTTCGATATACTTATAATCATTTTCTCAATGTCTCCATTTATTCTACTAAAATTATTATTAATTTTCCATTTTTAATTTGATTTCTTCCATTTTCCATTTTTAATATTCTATTTTTCAAAGCGTCTGCTTCTTTTCCATTCACTGATCATTTGACAATGGTAGGATTAGCGTCATAATTTGGTGATAATTTGTTTATGCATAAAAATAGAAAATTAGAGAAATTGGAAGTAATTCTAGGGTAATACTTTAGGTAATAATGGAAATTTTAAATAATTATAGAAATGATTGCAGAGATTCTACATGATTGCGGTGATTCTGACCACGTACAGAAATTCTAAACAATTATAAAAATTCGCGATGATTATAGAAATTTTAAACAATCATAAAAATTCTACATGATTGCAGTAATTCAGACTAGTGATTTTAAATAATTATAAAAATTCTACACGATTGGGGTAATTCTGGATAGGTATAGAAATTCCAAATGATTACATTAATTAAAAATAATTACAGAAATTTTAAGTGACGGATTTGTGAGCTTCGAAAATGATTTTGAAAGTAAAAATATGAAATGTAGTATGTTTATTTGGAAATGTACGTATGAAGCTATTGTTCGACGCAATTCTAATTATTCACGCAGTATGAACACAGTTTTATGTAAGATTTTAATTAATTTCTAATTAATTCCACGAACCGTTAATATTCAATTAGCATCAATGAGAAATAAATGATCCCCAATAATTTCGATAAAGTTACTCAATTTTTATTTTTATTTCATATATTTTATTTAAAGTACAGGAAAAATATATGCAATAAATAAATATTAATTAACCCATCTCGACTTATCATGACTCACTTTTATCATAACTAAACGATACTAATCGAGATTTAAACGAAAGAAATCTTATTTAGTCCGAAAATTAAAAATATCTAAAATAAAAATATCTAAATAAAATAAA